GTTTTAAGAAAGTATCCAGTGGCTGAGGGAGAACAAAGTCAAATACATACTCAGCAACCAGGATGGCTTCCCACACTAACTCGAGAATTTAAGGACAGGAGAATGAATTACACACCCTTTTTTGATTCAGAGGATGCTACTTCCCAATTCCTGTCATATAATTAGCTATTTCTCCTTAACAAAATCAACTTAGAACAGTTGCCTGGGGTGAGGTGGGGAGTGATTGGGAAGAGGGCATGGAGGAACATTTTGGAGGGAGAGAAATTGTTCTGCATTTTAATCAGGGTGTTGGTTACATCATATATTCATTTGTACAAACTGGTGACCTATAGTCTTAAGATCTGTGCATTTTACTGTAGTGTAAAAATAGAAAAAAAGTCAAACCAACAATTAGGCTTACTTGGCTAATGTCCATATGTGATGGTGTGTTGACAAGAAATTCATCTGAAAAAGAGAAATAATACCCTATTGAGAAGTGGGACGCGTGCTGCAAGCATGGGCAGATGTGATTCATGGGTTGGGCCAGGCTGTCTCCAGTCACAGGGAGCTGAGCCTCTTCTGTAATGTGCTTAATTACTTCCAATTGTGCAGTTGGCTAAATACAGTCATTAGTCTTCCCTTCGTTGAACAGGCTTGGGGATTCCTTGAAGTCACTCTCTTAGCAGGACTGGGTTGGATTTTCCCAAGTCTGGTGACCTCCTCAGATTGTGGTGTGTGATGGTGCATCTCCGGTGCTCTGGAAATGATCTGTTTTCACCACTGGGTGTTTGGGGGATTGTGTGATTAGTCTTGGAGTCAGTGAATCATGCATGTCAGGCCTCTGGGCACAGCAGGGGCACTTGTGGGCTCTGTCCTGGCACAACGCTCTCTGCCCGCCCACCCAGCCTCATGGAGGTCCAGGCTAATCACATTTCGAAAACAGGGTTATTAACTGCAGTACTGTTTGAAATAGCAAAAGAGTAGAGACAGTCCGCACATTCATCAGTGGGAGACTAGTTAAAGAAATTTTGGCTCATCCACATAACATAATACTGAAAAAAGAGTGAGGATGCTTCTCTGTGTACAAATTTGGAAAGTTTCAGGCTATATTGTTCAATGAAAAAACAACAGAGTGTATATAATATGAATGCATAGAATATGAGTGCGTGTGTGTCTTTGCTCATATATATAAAGAAACATTGAGGGGTGCCTGGGTGGCTCAGTTGGGTAAGCCTCCGACTCTTGATTTTGGCTCAGATCATGATCTCACGGTCATGAGATCGAGCCCTGCCTCAGGCTCTGCCCTTAGCGGGCAGTCTGTTTCTCCCTCTCCCTCTGGCCCTCCCCATCTGCTCCTGCTGCTCTCTCTCTCAAATAAATAAATAAATCTTTAAAAAGAAACATTGAAAAGAGATAAGAAATGTAACTGTAGTGGTCACATTTGTGTGTGGGGGCATTGGGGTTGGGAATTGGGCAGGAGAGAGTGGGAGCAAGGGACACTTCACTGAAAACCTTTTAAAAATAGTTTTTAGAAAGTCATGTGAAGATATTACCTAATAGAAGATTGGAATACATTAATTCAAATGTTCAAAAGTTTTTCAAAACAGGGAAAAGTTTCAGGGTCACCTTGTGGTCACCTTAAACCAGCATTTCCCACACTGTGGTTTGTGAAGGTGTTATGAGAAATTCATGGACTCACAGCAGTAATGCAATTTATTTTAATTCCTACTTTCTTATATTCAGCAAATGAAATAGTTATTAAAGACGTGTGTTCACGTAATGCCACACCCTCTGAGAGCCCTGGGCGTGGGGGGCGAGCACACAGGGAAGCCTGTGGAGAGCAGGGGTGCAGGCCGTGACTCTATTCTTCATGCCTGTTCCCGCTGTGAAACAGCAGCTTCTGCATTGGTGGTTTTGACCGTCACACAGTTTTAAGTTGTTTTTATTCTTAGCCACATGTTAATTTATACCCCAAATGTCCCAGGGATTGGCGAAGATTCTTTGCTTGACCAAACTTTAGTCAGACTCCTGAACCCTCTCCTAGGCCCATTTGTGCACTTCTGTGTAAAATTCAGTTTTAGGGAGGACCCCGCTAAGTCAGGGCTGTGCGTGTGCTCAGGAAAGGCCTGAGGAGGCCTGAAGACATCACTTCTGACTAATCTCAAGGCTCCACACAAGCAGGAAGTTAGGTGAAGGTAGTGTTGTCAATGGCCAAGGTCAATGTTGAGGGCATGCCCCATCATGCACACAGCCTGGCTGATTTGCTGCTTCCAGGCATTCAAGGAAATCTCTGTCTTATTATTAGCTGGCCACTGAGGTAACCGAATAGAGACCTTAGTGGCCACGTACAACAAAATCAGACTTTACAGAATTAGTTTCCAAAAGTCACTACACAAAGAACAACAGCTACAATAAGCAGCAGCAGGAACCAAACCCTGGGGGTCGATGAGAATCTGGTTTCTCGAGATGCCACATTATGTTATTTAAAATGTCTAGTGCTTAATAAAAAATTATGAGACAGGCAAAGAAACAAGAAAGTATGGCCCATGTATAGAGAAAAAAAAGCAACCAGTAAGCATAGAGAATGTCATAGACATTGTGCTTACTAGTCAGACTTGCTTTAAAAAAAAAAATTATTTATTTATTTTTAAAAGATTTTATTTATTTGAGAGAGAGAGAGTAAAAGAGAGCACACAAGTGGGGGATGAGGGGCAAAGGGAGAGGGAGAAGCAGACTCCCCACTGAGCAGGGAGCCCAACTCGGGGCTCGATCCCAGGATCCTGGGATCATGACTTGAGCTGAAACCAAGAATTGGATGCTCAACTGACTGAGCCACCCAGGTGCTCCTGCTAGCCAGACTTTAAATCAGCTATTTTAAATATATTTAAAGAGCTAAATGAAACCATGTCTAAATAATGAAATAAAATTTTGAGAATGATATCTCCTCCAATAGAGAATATCAGTAAAAAGATAGAAATTATAAAAAATAACCAGATAGTTCTAGAGTTGAGAAAAACAGGAACTAAAATGAAAAATTCACCCCCAGGGCTCCACAGCAGGTTTGAGCAGGCAGGAGAAAGCATCTTGACTTGAAGAAAGATCAATTCAGATGATCTACTTTGAAGAAAACAAAGGAAAAAGATTGAAGAAAAATGAACACAGCCCCAGAAATCTGTGGGATATCATCCAACATACCAACATATATGTAACAGGAGTCCCACAAGGAGAAGAGAAAGAGGAAAGAGGGATCTAAAGAGTATTTGAGGGGCACTTGGGTGGGTCAGTCGATTAAGCGTCTGACTCTTGATTATGGCTCTGGTCATGATCTCAGGGTCCTGAGATGGAACCTCACATTGGCTCAGTGGGGAGTCCGCTTCTCTCCCTCTCCCTCCGTTGCCCCCTTCTCTCTCTCTCTCTCTCGATCATAAATAAATAAATCTTTAAAAAAAAAAAAGAATATTTGAAGAAATAATGGCAGAAAACTTCCCAATTTTAATGAAAAACATTAATCTGTATGTCTAAGAAGTATATCAAACTCCAAATAGAATAAGCTCAGAAATAGGATAAACACCTAGACACATGGTAATTAAACTGTCAAAAGACAAAGACAAAGAACCTTGAAAACAGCAAGGAAGAAGCCACTTATCATGTACAAAGATCCTCAATAAGTTTAACATCTGATTTCTCATCAGAAACCACGGAGGCCGTAAGACTGTGGCATGACCTGTTTAAAGCACTGAAGAAAAGAAACCCTGTCAACTAAACATTTTATATCCAGCAAAACTATCCTTCAAAAATGAAGGACAAATTAAGACCTTGTCAGATGAACAAGCCCGGAGGGCATTCATCACTAGGGCACATCTGCCCTGTAAAAAAATAAATGGTGTCCTTTAGGCTGAAATAAAGGGACAGTAACTCAAATCCGCATGAAGGAATAAGGAACCCTGTAAAGGAAACTATATAGGTAAATATATAAATATATAAGTATAAGTATATTTTTTGTTTGTAACTCTTATTTCTTTGCCTGATTTAAAAACAACTGCATAAAGCAATAATGATAAATCTGTGGGGTGGGCAGACAATGTATAAAAATGTAATTTTATGACAATACCAACACGGGGCGGAGGGGGGGTAGAGAATGGGGCTATATAGAAGCAAAGTTACTGTGTATTATTGAAATTAAGCTCGTACTAACTTGGACCAGGATGTTAATTACACCCCAGGGCAACCACTGAGAAGACAGAAAGGCGTGGCCAACTGTGTCACCTGCCAGGGACCCTTTAGATGAGCCCTGAGAACTGACTGCTTGGTCTGGCAGCATGGAGGTCCCAGGTACACCGGTCTGGGGGTCGGCGCGGGTAGGGCTGACCAGATGGGTTCAGGCAGAATGGGAGAGAAGGAAGTAGAGAAAATGAATACAGGTAATGCTTCCATGAATTTTGCTGAAAATGGAAGCAGATAGATGGGGATGGGGCAAAGGGTGAGAGGTAGCTCATTGGTTTTGCATGCTGGTGGAAAAAAACTAAGTGCCGTCTCTGTGTCATTAGGAAGAATTTTGGAAATCTCAGGGGGATTATTGGAGCATCGTGCTTCTCACCCGAATGCCCCAGGCACTGGCGTCTTGGGTTACTGCGGGGTAGGCATACACGTTCGCATGTATGCACACACACATTTCAGGATATACTAATATCTAGAGGGCAGGGCGGGAGGCAAGAAAGGCCCCGTGAGCCCCAGCCGGAGCGGAGAGCTGACAGAGGGTTCGTCCCGGGGCACACACTACCCCCCCAACCTGGTCCCGTCCCCGTCCCCGCGCCCCCTCCCTCCGCCCGCGTTTCCCAACTAGGGCAAAGGGCAGCGCGGAGGGAAGGGCGGGAGGGGCTTCCCCCGCCCCACCCCGCGAGCGCTGGACGGCCTCCCATTGGCTCCCCTCGCTCCGCCCTCGGTCCCCATTGGCAGCGGCGCGAGCGCAAAGGCCGAGCGCTCTGCTCCGCACCGCCCAGCGTGTGGCCGGCCCGGCGGTGCGGCCAATGGGAGCTCCCATGAGGCGGGGCGGGGCCGCGGACGCCGGGAGCCCGGGCACCGGTGAGTAGGTAAACAGATCCGGGGCGCGTGGGGCGCCGGCGCTGCGGCTGGCGAGCGCGCGCAGGCGGCGCGAAGGTGACCGCGGAGCT